AAAGAGAGTGGGCTGGTGCAGCAAGACCTACAGGGTCACAAGAGAGTCGGGACCTTGCTGAGTTCCAGAAATGCCATCCTCCACAATTCACGGGAGATGCAGGTCCAGAGGCAGCTGACCGCTGGATGTGTGAGTTGGAGAAGATCTTTGCTGTTCTGGGATGTTCTCCAGAGAAGCGACTGACATATGCTGTATATATGCTTGTGGGAGAGGCTAAACATTGGTGGAGAGACACCTATCAGATGCTTGCTGCTAGAGGAGTCACAGTTGATTGGGAGTGTTTTAGGACAGTGTTCATGGAGAAGTACTTCCCTGAGAGCGTGAGGCACGCTAAGGAGGCCGAGTTTATGAGATTACACCAGGGAGGGATGATAGTTTCCGAGTATGCGATAAAATTCGAGCACTTGGCTCGTTTTTATTCGCAGGGTATAGCTGAGGCCTGGAAGTGCAGAAATTTTGCTGATGGGTTGAGATATGAGCTGAAGAGGGTGGTGGTGCCTATGGCCATCACTGAGTTCCCGGCCTTAGTAGAGAAGGCAAAAGTTGTAGAACAGTTGGAGAGTGGTAACCGTGTCGCGAGGATTGCTGGGGGACCATCTAGGTCCAAGAGGGGCGAGAGTCAGAGGAAGTCGTATGATAGGCCCCAATCACAGCAAGGGGGTCCTGTCAGTAGGCAATCTTCCAGTATTGCTAGTGGAGGTAGACAGAGTGGAGGTGCCACTCTTAGATATTTCAGGTATGCTGGGCCTCACTTTGTCAGGGACTGTCCGTACACGGAAAGTCGTTGCTTCAGATGTCATCAGATGGGCCATGAGTCAGCCAACTGCCCTGCTAGAAGCATACCAGATAGGAGTACTCAGAGGAGTGATGTGCAGAGGGTTGATACTCAGAGGAGTAGCGCGCAGAGAGCTGATACTCAGAGGGGTGACAGACCCATTACTGCTGGTAGGGTATTTGCCTTGACAGGTGTTGAGGCTTCGACTTCTTCTGATCTTGTGAAGGGGAAGGGCAAAGCTACTAGTAAGGATGTGATGATTCTCTTTGACTCTGGTGCTACGCATTCCTTTATATCTTATGCTTGTGCTGCTATGTTGGGTGTGCCTGTGTGTGATTTGGGGTTGAGACTGCTGGTGTCGACACCAGCTTCTGCTTCTGTGATTGCTTCTGAATTGTGTGTTGGTTTCCCGGTTGTGGTGAATGAGAAGAAGTACAAGGTGAACCTGATTTGTTTACCTTTGGTGGATATTGACATAATCTTAGGGATGGATTGATTG